TGTTCAAAGGTGGAGATTTGTGAGATATTAGATCAAACTATATTGGGTCAAAGGATAGCTTCGTGGTTTGACAAGTTCGACAAAGGTTGGCATGCAGTCGAAGGCCGCTCACATGTTGGTGTCAAAGTAGTATGTTGTAGTCAAAGTATGGTCAAGCATACAGTTATTGGAAATGCTAGGTTTGTTAGCATGACTAATTGGGCCTGTTTTTTATGTCCAATTGTTTAAGTTAGCTTGTACCCTAAGTTAGTTTGTAATGGGTATTTTTGTGAAAAAGCCCATTAATTTAGTATGTTAGGTTTATTATAAATAGCATACTAGTCTCTCATCATTACATACAACAAATCCTAATTTAGAGTGAGAGGGTTATTTGTTATTCTTGTTTTCCTGATTCATACCTTGTGGGTTTATTGCCTCAAAGAAACCTATTATACTCTGTTCTTGGCATCATTTTCACAACACTTAACTTTATATTTGCTAAACTTTATTTATAACTATGTAGCAACAACACTATCAACTATACTCGATGGGAATCATATGTGTCACAGTTCATCAAATCCAATCAACAGAAAACTGATACCTCGTCCCCAACTCTCATTGTAATACGCCAAAGTCAAAGAATAAGGTTTAACTTACTTCATTTGGTTTGTTCTACAAATTCACTTACTTTTTATTAGGGAAATGCATACACAACTATTTTCATGTTTAATGCAGGAAAATATCCACTTTCCGTTTCAAACACCTACAATGTTGCTAAATTGTGCATCAACAAATATTTGAAACCAATAAATGACTTCATTGAATGGTGCACTTCATTTCCATAAATTGTGTATATGGGTCGTTTCATGAATTTGTGTAATCTATATAACATAAATTATCTTTTCTACTTTCTTATAGCATCACTAAGGACTCATTGGTTAATCGGACCAGCCAGCTTAGTTCGTAATCTCAAGTGTGGTCACAAAACTTCACTATGTTTGGCACATCAATTAGTTGGAAAGAGAAACTTCAGAAGGTTGTAGCCTTATCAACCACTTAAGCAAAATATATCTCCCTCACTAAAGTTGTGAAAGAATTGTGACTTGAAGGTTTTGCTAAGGAGCTGAAACTTCAAGGTCGAGTTATCACTGTTAAATGTGATCGTCAAAGTGCAATACACCTGTCGAAGAACTCATCTTATCATGAGTGAACCAAGCACATCGATGTTAGACTGCATTTTCTTAGAGGGTTAATCGAACATGAAGAAGTCCAAGTGCTGAAGGTTTCGACAGATCACAATGTTGCTGATATGATCAGTGACATTGCCAAGTTGCAAGTTTTTCCACTGTATGCAGTTGATAAAGCTGCATGAAAAAAACTAGTTTGCTCTCTAATATTAGAGTTTGTTCAAAGGTGGAGATTTGTGACATATTAGATCAAACTATATTGGGTCAAAGGATAGCTTTGTGGTTTGACAAGTTCGACAAAGGTTGGCATGCAGTCGAAGGCCGCTCACATGTTGGTGTCAAAGTAGTATGTTGTAGTCAAAGTATGGTCAAGCATACAGTTATTAGAAATGCTAGGTTTGTTAGCATGACTAATTGGGCCTGTTTTTTATGTCCAATTGTTTAAGTTAGCTTGTACCCTAAGTTAGTTTGTAATGGGTATTTTTGTGAAAAAGCCCATTAATTTAGTATGTTAGGTTTATTATAAATAGCATACTAGTCTCTCATCATTACATACAACAAATCCTAATTTAGAGTGAGAGGGTTATTTGTTATTCTTGCTTTCCTGATTCATACCTTGTGGGTTTATTGCCTCAAAGAAACCTATTATACTCTGTTCTTGGCATCATTTTCACAACACTTAACTTTATATTTGCTAAACTTTATTTATAACTATGTAGCAACAACACTATCAACTATACTCGATGGGAATCATATGTGTCACAGTTCATCAAATTCAATCAACAGAAAACTGATACCTCGCCCCCAACTCTCATTGTAATACGTCAAAGTCAAAGAAGAAGGTTTAACTTACTTCATTTGGTTTGTTCTATAAATTCACTTACTTTTTATTAGGGAAATGCATACACAACTATTTTCATGTTTAATGCAGGAAAATATCCACTTTCCGTTTCAAACACCTACAATGTTGCTAAATTGTGCATCAACAAAGATTTGAAACCAATAAATGACTTCATTCGAAGGTGCACTTCATTTCCATAAATTGTGTATATGGACCGTTTCATGAATTTGTGTAATCTATATAACATAAATTATCTTTTCTACTTTCTTATAGCATCACTAAGGACTCATTGGTTAACCGGACCAACCAGCTTAGTTCACAATCTCAAGTGTGGTCACAAAACTCTTTCAACTCCTAGTTTACACCTTACCAAAAATTCATGTCAAAAGTTGTGGTCCTTCCTATCAGTGAAATTAAGCTACTCAAAGATGTATGTACTTTTATTAATCTCTTTTTTTCCTTTATTCTAACATAATTTTTTCAATCCTGATTTTTCACTTACATGCTTTCGTGCATATCACTTTCTATATTACAGTTACAACAGTTGATAAGCTCATTGTATCCCAATACAGATGGTATTTATCAGGCATGTCATCAATGTCCTAAGGTTATTAGGGGAGACAAACCACCTTTTAAATGTGAATCAGAACATTTAACTGAAGTTGAAATGTTTAGGTTACATGTTTTATCAACTCTTACATATTCTCCATTTTATTGTATTCTATAACCATAACGTTAATTATGTTGCACCATATTGCTACTTCACCAGGTACAAAATACAAATTGAAGTTGTTTATTCTGTAAGTCATTGTAATTTTTTTCTTGTGGGATTGAGAAAGCGAACAAGTCTTGGGACTTTCTACTACTCAGATGCACAACATGATATGGGGGTTTAATATATTTGTTATCGGTTTTCAACGCATTTATCTACAACTGTCATTATATTGTCTAAGTTAACAAATGTCCTTCATTTTATTTAGAATGGGGTTACTGATCCACATGAGTCCCATTAGCACTTGACAAGTTGTCGGGTAACGAGATTAATTTTAAGGTCAAATGGTATCCACTTTGGAATAGTTGTTATGTTGTTTTAATACTTGAAGACACATATGTAATCAAACAACTAAAGGCGTTATGGGAAACAAATAACGTACCAATGTGAGATGAACACACATTGTAGGGAGTTATTGTAGCAGTGTCATGTCATTATTAAGGGTGTCACGTATGCAAAATTATAGGGGGACCAACAAAATCTCAAGTGAGGTAAAGTTTAGGGATCAAAAAATTGACTTTTAAAACAAGAGACTAAAATTTTAAAAACTTGAAAATATGGAGACCAAGAATGCATTTAAGCCTAAAATATATAACAAAAAAATGTTTCGAATTATGATTGTCATAAAAAATTAATTTAGAAGGTAGTTGTGTTTTGTTACAGCGAAATTATGTTAATCGAATTAAACATCAATTTTAAATAGTAGAAAAAATAAATTAAATAATAGAAAAACAAAATACTTAACCTATATTTTGATTAAAATAAATTTAGATAGGTCAATCAATTTAAATAATATTAATTTAAATGATATTAGAGATAATTAATTATCATTTTTAATTACCATTTTAACTTAGAAAAAAAATATAATTCTTAATTAAAAATAAAATAAAAACTAATAAAAATCGAAATAATGTAGGGTTTGAAAGTTCACTATAGAATTCAAAGAAAGGCAGTAGAATTCAAAGAAGTTTACAACATAGAAAGGTGCACCACAAATGAGAATTTTGAAGTTCATTTCGTCATCATGAATATGTATGGAAGGAAAACTGCTGAAGGAACTTTCTTCATCATCACTGTCATCATCTTTGAAGGGTGAACATTGACTTTAAGACAATCACCAAGAAGGTGTGGCCCCATATCGCTATCAACATCATTGTTATCATTAGGAAGTACTTGAACACAGTAGAGTTTAAAAGAAACATGTGCATGACGTGTATATGTACGCGAACTTTAATAAGTTTGAAAACAATATAAATGTTAAGTAATATTTAAAAATTCTTAACAAATGAAACTACTTTGTTTTCTTCAATTCTTTTCTCCAAGGTGAAAAGAAAAAAAAGTCATATTAGACTTAGAAGTTCTGGCCATTCATGATTCAAAACAAAAATAAGTTAAACAATTATAGATTAAGTACCGTGACATGTAAACCATACTGAGACACAGATTTTTCAAGAAAGGACCCACTGCATGAATGTGTAAGTAGTAACCATAATCAAACATAAAAAATAGATAGTAAGTTGTATCCGTATAGCAGATAGATTTAGGGCATAAAATACCATTGTATATAGTAAAAATCATCATTGTATATAGTAAAAGAGTTATTTTAGACAAAGTGGTAACATAAATCACAGTCCAACATCATAGAAAATAACCCGCATCATGTGCAAGTTGATTCATCTCTAAGTGGTGAGCTAAAACCATCTTTGATGAAACTCAACTCAGCTCAATTTTGTCCCTGAATTTCAAAAACTAAAACCCATGATACTCAAGTTAAATTTTAAATGTTTTTTATTTATCTCTAAGTGGAAGCATACAGATAAAACTAAAAGTTAAGTTTTATTGAAATGACATTGATGTAAATAATGAAAATATCTCACAAACAAATTCTACACACCACAACTTTAATGTCTAAAAAGGCCTCATAACACTTGTAAATAAGATTCTTAAATGAATCATCTATAGTGTCTAAAACAACCTCATAGCCTTGTAAATAAGATCCATACATGAATCTTCTATAATGTCTAAAACAACCTCATAGAACTTACAAATAAGATCTTCAATTACTTGTTTTTCATAATCATAAAAATATTTCACGACGGTAACTGCATCATAATTTTAACAATCAATTATATAGTCTGAGACAATAAGACTGCGGTAGCTTTCTTCATCTTTAATCACTTTCCAAATTTTAGTATGGTGAACTTATGAAGGTCCTCCCCGACTAGTGACAAAGGCCAACACCAATGCATATGGTAGAGATGTGATCTCTTACCATGCTCAAGACACCTAACCTGAAAGATACTCGATAGAAAATGTAAACATATGAGGTAATAACACATGTTAATTAGAAATGCTTAGAATCAATGCTAAGTGTAGAAAACCAACCTTCTATAAATGAATATGAAGTCAGTGTTAAATTGATTAATATTACTAATAACTAATATGAAGTTAGTGTTGAATTCATTAATTTTTTGGAATTAAGAATGGCTACCACATGTCAACATGTTTATCCAAAGAGTAGATTCTTTTTTTTAAACATTCAAGTTGACAGAAAATTAAATCCACATTCATGAACAAATAAGAATCGTATGATATTGAATTAATTGGGATCCCATTCCTTAGAATTATAGTTAGTGACACTTCACATGTAAATTAGACCACCGATAAAAACGGCAAGGTTCATACTAGTAGTAGACAATTACCATACCAAAATATTCTAGAATCTAGAATTAATTCATTGTTACATCCACCTTTAAACATTCCATCTCTATGTGATTGAGAGCAAAGGTTGCAAAGCAACTGTTTATTGTGAGCCAAACATAACGACATGATGTAGAAACCAAAAAAAAAGATATAGAAAACAAAATTGAGAATAATAGAGTAAATAATAAGAGAAACCCATTGTTATAATGTGCTATGTCATAACAATTTCTTAGAAACACAGCACTGGCTTTTTTGAAATGCAAGTAATGTGAATGTGTCTTCTTACTTTATTCTCAAGTTGATTAGAGGATCACACTTGCTCTTGGTTCTATTCTAAACTGTCAAATAAACACTAAACAGCAGGACAATTTTGAGAATAAATTAGGAGAAATTCTCCCTTAGTCACATAATTCACAATTTGTTTCCCCTGTCAATAACCATATTTGTACATATTCAAAAAAGAAAAACCGATTAAACCAAGAAAATAAATACAAAAATCACACTAAGATACAGATAAATAGTAAGTCAATAGAACTTTAAGCAAAAAAAACAACAAAATTGATGAGAATCTACTACATTGTTTTATCAAACATGTGGTGGGCGAACTTGAAATTTAAATAGATTAATAATAAATTGAAAGAGGAAGGAAAGAAATAAGATACTATTGGAGAATCAATCATAAACATATTCGCGTGAGCTTTTTATTCATAGAGACTCTGCCCTATTTCAGGAAAAATTGATCAAACAACAATTTAATGTGATTAACGACTAACAAGGCATATCAATATTATATAGCCAAATGCTTAATTAGGTTATCCCTGAGAGAGAAATTGCACCATTTAATCAGGTTGTCTCTTTAAATCAGGTTGATTGCAAACATCATATCATCACATGTTAAATCAAAATGCTTTCATATAAAATGTTGCCATAAATATCATCATGAAGTTGATATTTGTTTACCGTGCTTGTAATGTCATAAACAACAATAGCAACGACAACACCATGATAATACTCACCAATTATGGAGGATTGTGAATAACGCGAGCAAACCAACGATAAGCAGGAGTAAGGTGAAGAATATAGAGATCTTGGAGTTGTAAAGAGGATCCCTATGTTTGTCGGTGAAGTAGGAACAATGATAATGCGAGATGGTTTCAGTCTTTAGGAGAGTGGTGATCGCCGAAAAAGTCGTTTTCAAGAATGAATGAAGGGGAATCTTCGGCACCGTAGGGTTCAAGTGTATTCAAATGCAACTCAGATTCGATTGTGAGATTTTAGGGTTCTGCTTCATCCCTTTTAGTATAGTATGGGTTGTTTTCCCAAAATAGAGAGAAAGGCTTTCAAAATTTCTCTGTGACTTTTCAGTTGTCGCGCATAGAGAGTGTAATTTAATTTTCCAATAGATTTTAAATAATATTATTGCGTCAATGTATATTGGGTATATATTGACTGTCAAATAAATACTATTTTTAATTAAGCTAAATGAATAGGTTAAATGATAATTACACTTATTAACTACTTTTAAGGACACAAAATTACTTTCTTAAACAATTTTAATTAGGATAATCAAATAATAATAATAATAATAATAGTGTATTAGATTTTAAAAGAAATTTTTAATTATATCGGAAATTCTAGACTGATATAAAATTCCCTTTATGGCTCTATTATTGTCTCCAACTTTTCAATTTCCGCACACACTCTCTCATCTCTCTCTCTACATTCATCGTCGCTTCGTTTTCGGTTTCTCGCTCCGTGATCGGAATCATCGGTAAGTCCTCTTCGTTTTTCAATTTCATCTCTTTTTTTTACCTTTTTTTTATCGATTAGGGTTTCGTTTGATTTGATTTCTTCCCCTTTTTTACCTCCGCCGTTTCGCCATGTCAAAAGTTTCGTGAACGGTTAACGATGTCAACATAGATAGCCTCTGAATGTTTAGATTTGAGACGATTCTATGCGTATATATTTGTCTCTATCTCATCTTCGATTCATGAATTGCATGATCTATGTTTTGAAAATTTTCTCGAATATTTCTTGGAAATTTGAGATAAAGGGTTTGAATTTATGAAATATCTGCTATTTCTCAAAGGAAGGGGTTATGTTGTCACAGTTTGATTTTTAATTTTCTTGAAATCTTGATTTTGTATAGAAATTGGTATATTGGGTTTCGAATTGATTTGGCTTGAAATCTTCATTTTGAAGAGAAATTGGTTGCTTAGTTGAATGAACAGATTAGAGAAGTTTAATTAATTAGCATGTTGTTTTTGTTTATTAATTTTTGTGTTTGAATATCTCCAGGATTTGAGCTATGGGGAAGAGGAAGGCGAAAACAAAACCACCTCCAAAGAAACGAATGGATAAGCTTGACACTGTTTTTAGCTGTCCTTTCTGCAATCACGGTTCCAGTGTCGAGTGTCGCATGTAAGTAAATTTTAATTACCTTGAAAGGGGTGTAGCATGCAGGGTTTTGATTTTCTTGCATATTCATCGAATAACATTGACGACTACTTTTCTCTGAAATCACACCTACTGCTCCATATTTCATTTTAGAGATGAATACTGATGTGTTTGATGTTTGTTTCTGGGTTTTTCTTACAGTGATATGAAGAACTTGATAGGGGAAGCTTCTTGCGGGATATGTCAGGAGAGCTTTAGCACTACCATCACAGGTTTGTTTTGTAGGGTGTGCTTTTTTTTCTCTTAAAGAAGCAATAAATTCCATAGGGTGCATGGTATCATGGCTGACCTTAGATATGGAAATGAGGAATAGCTAAGATGATAAGAAAAAATAAATGTTCTTGATGTTTATAGCAAAACAACTTGATACTAATGATAATCACTTGAGACTTATCAATAATCCCAATCCTTTCTAATTTAACTTTTTCTATGACCTTATTGCTTTGTGCATTAACCTTTCAGACCTTTGGTCTCGATCAAACACCATTTATTAGTTAAGGAGGCTCTCTTTGCTGAAACTACCTAATTGCCCGTGTCTGTAAAACGCTCTACAACAGAATCTTTGTATAGCTGCAAGAGGCTGCAATTTCATGCACTGCCACTATAGCATTTGATTATTGAAACTATGATTGAACTTATTGTGTTATGGAAAGTGAGATATTCAGTATTTTATGTATCTGCTGGGACCATATTTACTGTGATATAGCTAATGATCTTGTGTTTTTTCTCTCTTTGCAGCTTTATCCGAGGCAATAGACATGTAAGTTCAATTGTTGAATTGAAAATCTACTCTCCCCTCTCTCTCACACACATTACTGGACACAACCACATGACTCAATTATCTTCGTTGTAATGTTGCAGATACAGCGAATGGATTGATGAATGTGAACGGGTGAACGCTGTTGAAGATGATGGTACTTAGTGACAGGGATCCACTTATAGTGATAGTTCATTGATAAGTGTCCAACTTTATAATATTTCCACTCTGTAGTTATGTCCATTTCTGCTGTGAGCAGTAGTATTACTATGAACTTTAGTTTGAATGTGGAATCTTGACAGATTGTAATGATTGTACGCAAGAGCATGAAAATAATTGTCTATTTAGGTGAAGTTCACATTTTGAATCTAGTTAAAGCACCGAGTTGGAACATACTAATCAATCAGGAGGGAGTTGGAACCACCGAACGGAACTATGGTGGTGAAAACCAAAAAAAAAAGTTAGGTTGTGAAGTTGTCACTAAAAGACTATTTATATGTTTCTTTCTTAATGATATGAAACTTGGCTAATAGATGATAAAACATTAAAAAGCATTATCTCTGGTAGATAGAATCTATTGTAAACCTCAAAATTGTAGTGAACTATTTTTAATTTATCTACTAAATAAATTTTACTTTGGAAAAAAGCATGACGGAACTGGAAGCCAAAGAGAGCTGATCCTTCCCCGTCAACGGTCAACACCAAGAGTGTAGTGGAATTATGAAAGGAATCAAACAAATAATTCACACAAACTATTCAACTCAAAACATGAGTTGTCTATCATTCCCAAACCTTTGACATAAACCTCCCAAAAGGATTTTCCAAGTATACTAAGGGGAAAGTAAAATAGTTTTCTTAAATATACAAATATATATACAATCATCGCATATTGAAGAGCAAAGAAAATTTAAAGTTTTAATACTGATGAAAATTAGAAGCATCCTTAACGAAACAAAGATTCATGTATTTAAAACCGTGACATCAAAATCATTATTGGTTCCTGACGTCAATTAGAATATGATTCATCATTGCCCTTGAAATTTGTTTGAATTGAATATGGATTTCAATGTGAGTGCAATGACTAAGACTAAGTTAACGAGAAACCACTAAAAGTGGCAGAGAAGGATGGAGGGGAAGGCAGACAAAAGGTGTGGTGTGTGGTTGATGGGATACGGTGGAGTGGACGATTTAAGGTGGACAAATGGTGGGTGGGAACGAAGATTTATAAAAAATGCAAGAGACAAGAGTTAATGGAGGTATATGGTACATATGATGTGAGTGTAGGAGACGCTTGCAAATTTTTTGCTCTCCCACTATGGGAGGCGAGTGAGTGAGTGTTGCGCACGGTAGAAGACCCCAGGTTGAATCCTTTGGCAAACTTGAGTTAAAGTTTGGAGGGAAATGAAAAAGAAGGATTTTGACAAAATAGATAGAAATGAGATATTTAAGAGACGTGGAGAGTGTAAATAATTTCTTAATTTTAATCTATATTATTATAGTAATATAAATAGTTGCGTAAAGTTAATAGCTGTAAATGGACCATTAACTGACAACTATATGGTAGCAGGTTCGAACATATGACCGTGTATTTGTTCACTTTAAAAAACTAATAAAATCCAAACATATAAATATAGAAAAAAGTGAGTGATTAAAATGTAGCTCACATAATAATAGAGTATTATTGGGCAACGATGAACGCCTAATGAAAGAGATGAATCAGAAGAAAAAAAGGGAAACCCCAAATTGATCTAACAATTACTGTATCAAGGGTAAGAATTTAAATGGGGCAGGATATATATTTTTATCTTAATTTTTACTTTTAAATTTACTTCTCATTCATGTCCCGGATCTCCATAACGGTAAAATTTTATTCTCTATTTCTGTTCCAATGAATTTCCGTTGATTCCTACGATTTATGTAGAGATCTATAAACATAATTATTTTTCTTTTATTTTAAATTAAATTATTAAAAAAAAATTAAAAATTAATCATAATATAATTTAATAATATTTAATCTTGAGATTCATGAACACTAAATTTTTAAACTTAAAAAAAAAAAAATCATTTAGAACTCTCTTTTATTAAGAATACATGTGTATTTTACATTTTTTTTATAAGATAAATTATTTGAAATTACAAATACACCTACATGAAAATGTTAAAATATATATTAATTAACGATATTATAGTATTATAGTATAGGGCAGAGACTCTACGGAACATAGATATGTTCATTATTCAGATCTCCAAAGTGCCTTTAAAGAAATTTTATTCTCCATCCCCGTCGTTGCAGAAAAAGAATTTTTCAGTATTTAGAGTCTCAAACAGAGAATCTCCTCGGAGATCCCCATTAATAGATGCAAGTTGACATCTCTAATCAAGGGATATATATATATATATATATATATATATATATATATATATATATATATATATATATATATATATATATATAGCTACATATTTTGTGATAAAATTAATATTTATATTGTTAAAATTTAAATAATTATTTTATTTTTAAATATTCTAATTTATTATATTTTAATTTTTGTATAGTATATTAAGTTTAAAAAATTTCCTTATGACAATTATACATGTTTTTAAAAAATTATTTATTAATATTTTTTAATTTAATATTAAATTAATCTTTATTTATATTTTGTCATTTTATCATTTTATTATTTTTTATTTTAAATTATATTTTATAAGGGTAAATTAATAAATTATTTTCTTATCTTATCCTGTCGGATTCTAATTCTCATTTTTAGCATAACAATTTCAATTAATGAGGCATGATAAGATAAGTTTTAGGATTAACTTATTCTATCATATTGTGTCATCAAACACTGAATTAAGATAGGATATAATACAAATATTATATCATGTCTGTTATCCTATGCACCACCAAACAAGAGTATTTAGAGCATAGTTTCTTTTTTCTATTAAGAATTATGATCTGATATCATTTCCGTCCCTAAATATAAGTCTTTGTGGACTAAATTAAATTAATTAAAAAAAAGTTGATTAGAGTATTAAATTTATTAATTATTTGTACAATTTTACAAGTATGTTTTTAGAAGAGAGAAATAATTATACAAGTGTATTTGTTACACTACAAAAAATGATGTAATATGATTAAAGATATGTTTGAAAAAAAATAATTAATACACTTTGAAAGTTGAAGAGAATCTTATAAAAAAAAATAAGAAAAAAACTCGAGAATTTTATAATTAGGGACGTGATAATATATATTTTTATTTACCATTAAAAATATTTGTTATATATGTAATTACATTCCTTATTTATTTAAATAATTAAAAATATTTTTTTATGAAAAATTTAACATTTAATATTTTTATTTGTTATTTTATTTTATTTTATTTATATTTTTAATTCTTTCTCTCCTTTACTTTTTCATTTTTAAATTATTAAGTTTTTTCTTTCAACTTCTTGTTCATTCTCTTTAATTTTACCTTTCAAATATACCTTGCTTCTAACTAATATCTTATTTTTACATTTTTCTATTATTATTATTATTATTATTATTTTTATCTCTCTATTTATTAATTACTCTATCTGTCAATATGTCATTTTGTCATTTTTGCCAAATACTAAGAAATCTTCATCATTTTTTATATAAGAAAAATTGCAAGTTATTTTATAAAATTAGTTTTCCTTAACAATATGAAAAACATAAATTAAAATAAATTAGAGAATAAAATCATAATCATTTAAATGTATAATAAAAAATATTATTAATGTTTTATTGATATTGTAAATAAATTATAATTTAAAAAATTCAAAACAACTTATAATTTACAATAGAGAAAATAATTTCTATTATCTTGTTCATATTTTCATTTTCATTTAAAATTTTAATGAATTATTAAAGTTTATTGTAAACATGATTCTGATAATTGAAAGTGGCTTTTTTTATGTGAAAATTTATTGGGTTTGGAGAAATCTATTATAAATATATAAAAATCAAAATATTTGAAAATCTATTATAAATATATAAAAATCAAAATATTTAGAAAGCCACTAATTATCTTTATAATTATAAATTAACTCTAATATAATTTTAAGAGCATACTAGTGGGTAACTCGTGCTATCGCACGTTCTCGTATGGTTTTCACATCACATGATTTAATATTGATTTGCAAAGTTCTATCTTGTGTCAAAATTAAACTAATAAAAATCAATTAAAATACAATTAATTTTGGACGTAATATTAAATTATACAACAAAATTGACATGACTTGCAAAAATAGTATCCAAATTTTTAATCATTATAAGTCTACTAAGTATCATAGTGCATCAATGCTTTTGCAAAATATATTTCACAAGTTTGGTGTTCTTTTAGTTAATATTATAAACGAAGTATATTTCCAACAATTGCTTAATTCATATAGTCTAATCATCTTCTTACCATATAGCACATAAGACATTTAAATATGTAACAATTACATTAACGGAATACTTTGGAAGATATAAAAACATATTATATTTGGAGGTAAATGATTGTATGTACCTGTTTCTTCATCGAATTGCATGAAGTCAAATAAATGACTATTCATTTTGAAGGTTTTGTAGTGAAGTGTAAGATTTAAAGGCTTTAGGCATGTAATGAACGAAAAAAGTGAAAGTTTTATTGATCTTGACATATCAAGATATTACTGAAACCACATAGACATAGTGTATATGAAAAATAGAATTATTTAAGAAGTTTAAACAATGTAGAAACTAAATGTTGTTGACATCATTAAAAACATGATATATACAATGAATTCACATATATATTGAAGTTGATGAAACAACATCACTAATTGAGTATATTTAAAACAGGTTTTGCATTGGTTCGGCAAAACATACAACTAAAATTATGTGACAGTAATAGACTCATATATACTTGGTGCACATCGCGGTATACGTTCATACCAATTAACCAAAAATATAAGATGGAGTTTGACAATCCTCATTCAAAGATATTAAAGAGATCAAACTGAAATTTTTTAAACAGATCCAAAGTATTCAAGGAAAAAAACTACAAACAATCGGATCGGTTTCTTCAAAACTAACAATAACTTAAAATAATATAAATGTGAATATATCTACTTCTCCTTCTTTATATCCTCCATTAACTTGGTTGCGGAAAGTTAGACAC